GGAGACGCGAACGTCACGATCGGTGTCTGCAATGATTGTGCGAACGCGTGGTTAAAACGATTCGGACTCATTGGCAGACCAGTGATCGGCGGAGGTTTGGGCTTGAATTTGGTCAACGATTTGGGCATTTGTGCCGACTTTGCAGCGCTGGACGTGAGGTTGACGGGCGAACAGCCGTGCGATGACGTCGAGCTCTCGGCCGACGCGGGCGACGAAGTGGTCGAGCGGTTGGAGGGCGACGGCGATCGAGACGACGGTCGCGGCGCTGACAGCGGTCGCAGCGCTTTCAGCCGTTTGTTTGTGTTAGCGCTGACTGACGTCGAGTCGCTGTCGGCGCTGCCCTCGGAGTCGCAGATGGACTCCGAGTCCTCATTACTTCTCTTCTTAATATTACTTATATTCTTATTGTTTGTATTATTAATACAGTTATTGATTGAGTTATTAGTGGCGCTGTTGTTATGGGATCCGGTCTTACAGGACAGGTCCGTCGGCTCCATCGAGTGATGGATGTGGTTGTTGTGTGCGTTGATATGCTGTTGGAGGTGATGGTTGGGCGCCAACAGACTTGTGCCCAGATTGGCGGCTGAGGTGATGGTGGGCTTGTGGTCGACGGCCACTACAGCGCCGTTTGCCATACTCTCCATCTTCTGGTGAAACGACACGCGATTCTCCATTTTGATGATCTCAGGGAAGGCGACGAATCGGTAGACAAACTTCTGTCCCAACACTTTCTTAATGATATTCTTGTCGTAATAATACCTCAACGCTCGGCTCAGTTTGTCGTAATTCATATTATGCTTATTCTTCCGCAGACCCCACAGTCGCGCCACCTCTTCAGCCGACACCAGTTTGAACTCACCGTCATTGTTGGTCCACGTGATTATGTTTTTGTACTAAGCATGGTCAAATAATAGACAATTTTGTTAATGAATATAATTTATATTGCAAATTGCATGCATTTGTGGCATTTCACTGAAATGCGCTCATATGGGCACTAATTTACCTGATTATTCAACAATAGCTCCAACAAGAATTGCCATAATGTTATGTTAGTCTCCATTCCTATGCAAAAGTGGGCAAAAAATATGGGTTTAGTTATTATTAACAAAAAGCGTATATAAGTGTCGGTCATATCATAACAATATAATACTGTAATAATAATTCACTGCTTATTGTTAGGGAACGGAAACTAAAAGATAATAGATATGAATTGGGACTGAGAATAGATATAATGTATGCATTGACTCGACTATGAGAGCCAATGCCAGTAAATAACAGCAAATAATAAATTAGTTGCAAAATATATAACTATTTTTTTCACTAAATTATACTAATGTCTAGTGATTTGGCAAACAGTTCTGGAGAGAGAGAGAGAGAGAGAGAGAGAGAGAGAGAGACCCTCATTCCCGGACTCTCTATTCATCGACCCTTATAAGAAACTTGAGACCAAAAAACGGTTTGTAATTATAATAACTAAAAAATCTGTCGTTTTTTAGTCGATAGACTGGGGTTTCGATGGGTTTTGTCGATCGAAATGACAAATATATTCATTATATTTATAGAAATAGATTTTTAATTAATTTTTTAAACAAAAAGAAATGAAAATGTCTTCAAAATAAATTAAATAAGTATTAAATAAGTAATACATTAAGAATTGTATGAAATTGCATGAGTAATACTTATGCAGAAATTTTTAAATATCTTATCGAAATCAACACATTATGCGAGAAGAGAGAGAGAGAAGTGATTTTGAAGTGTTATATAAAAATAACAAGCGTTTCGTTTTAGAGGAAGTTTTCATAAAATATAAGCACTTATTTATCTCTCGCTTATTATAAGAGAGAGAGAGAGAGAGAGAGAGAGAGAGAGAGAGCTGCCAAAAAAGGGGCAAATCCTACACATAATTATTATTAATATATTACAGGCAATGAAAATTGTAGTAATATTAGTGCCTCTCTATCTCTATCTATCAAAATAAATGTTTAGTGAACGGGATGTTAATCTTAACAATTTAAATGAACATATCGTTCATTCAAAACAGGAATAAATCGCTAAATAGTGTATCAATTGGAAGAGGAAATCCGCTTTTCAGTCGTTTGTACTCTAATTTTTTTAATATCAAGTATTTTATATATTATAACACATAGTGTTAGGAACTAAACCACAAAACGCACTCAAATACACACTTATATTTACAGACAATTTTAAATAAATTAAATAATTTAAAAAACCTTTTCTAAATCAATAAAACATTCACAGAAGTTATTGAAAACTAGAAGTCAATTAAAATATGACTGCATATAAAATAGTTGGCATTAGTTTAGTAAACAATTTAGCGATTTTGTAGACATTTTGCACATAAAAAAATTCCAAGACTTTTGACAGAATAAATTTGTTTGACTTTTATGGCTATATTAAGCAAAAGAATTGCAAAGTCGAGAGACAAACACTACGGGTAGAAATAAAATGTGCTAAACAAACAATAATGTCAGTCGAATACAAACCACACAATACTAATCATATGAGAGAAACGTATTATTAAAGACATGAATACATTATAATATGGTTTTATAAGGAAAATCGGAACATAAGCCGATTTTTCTACTAAACAACAAATAAAGCATTAAATATTATGGAGAAAAATGAGTAATGATATGGCAATGGGTAGAGCGATAGGTATGATATGTATGCCTTGACTGAGGGATTGGGGGGATTGGGATGGGATGGCAGCGATGGTGACCTACTTCCAGGCAGGAGACTGTCAATGTATCCGATACTCGGAGGTATCGAATGGTGATCGCCATGAAGTTGTTGTCGAAATAAAGGATAAAATGCCATTTAAATCAAGTATAATATGTTCGGTGTTTTGCCAGTGGTTTCGAGTTTGAAGTCCACACAAACACAGGTTTTTAGGGCTCTCTATCGCACAATCAATTATAAAAACTATAAACTTATTTCTCGCTCCCAAACGATTGTGGTGTCGATCATAAAGACTGAGAGCAAAATTCAGTGGCAATCGAGAGATGAATTGAATAATAAGCGAGAGATAAATAAGTGCTTATATTTTATGAAAACTTCCTCTAAAACGAAACGCTTGTTATTTTTATATAACACTTCAAAATCACTTCTCTCTCACTCTTCAAAGTTTTAAGTTTTTTGCAAAATTGCAGTACATTTTGCGTTCATAACAGTGTTTATGTATAATATTCTTGAGATATACGCGGATATATTTAATGAGAGAAACACATTAAACGTATTGAATATTTAATGTATGGATAAAAGCTCTGCAAAAATATATTTATCGCACGAAACTTCCTTTTGATGCAAAAGTTTTGAGTTCTGAAAAAACAAACAAATTTTTTTGTCTATCGTTTTGTTCGTTCAATTCTATGCAAACTTGATATTCACTTGATTTGCAAAATACACACAAAACAGATACTAATGAGAGAATAATTTTCACAAAATTATATTCATATCTTTGAAGAAGAAGTTGTTTTACAGTTAAGGATACCGTAGTTTTGAAGCACCGGTACTATTAGCGTAAAGTCAATAAAATAGTCATTTTAGTGCCCTTTTTGTGTTGCAATAAATATCACACAAAACACATTAATAATTGTTTATTATAAGAACCGATTTATTATTACAAATATATAAAAATTAGTTATTATATATAAATCTCGATAAAACGATATCGCAAATTGTGATTAAAACAGTTACCAACACAACAATAACACACCACTACTACTGCTATATTTAATGACAAAAATATATGACTCTTTCTTAGCTGTGAATCTTTGAATAATGAATACAAGAATCGGTTAACAAAATCATATATACATTAAAAATGCAGTTTTAGAGGAGAAATCTATTTTCAATCAAACAAATTCATTGTCAAACACACACCAAATGCTGGCGATTAGTGTTTAGTAGAGGGGATGGAGTGAAAGAGTCAGTCACTCACTAATACTTTAACGGTTATAAGAAAAGAGACACAAATGTGTTTTGTGTATGAATTTAGTTATAGTGAAGTACAGTATATAATACAGTACTTGCGCTTATGTATGTATGTGTGTCTGTATAGTGAACTGCACGGCACAGATCACAATTAGGTCTCTATCTCTCACTCCATACACACATAATCTTTCACTCATTTGTTGTCGAGAGCGAGAAAAAGACAATTAATTAAAATCTTATCGTTTGGCAAAATTCTCGGTCATCACTCCATCCACTCTTGTTTTGAAGGTCTTTGATCGGAAAAAGTATAGTCAGTGCACACAACGAGGGGGAGTGCGGGAGTGGGGGCACGACTCACACCCGGACGGCTGGCGGGGGAACGCCAGGCACTGACTCAGGCGAAGACATAACACTACTTCTTGTCTTCTTGTCGTTTTGGGTTTCGATTGAATGCATTTCTATAACTTTGTCCCCAAACAGTGCCCAACAGTACAGTATATGTGTGTATATATGCGGTACACAGTTATAGAGGACAAGCCGTCTTACTTACCTCGAATTAGTCGACCGTACGATACCTATGGCACCTGTGCTGCTGATCACACCTGTGCTCATACATACAGTACACACCAGTGCCTCACTTATTATATCAGAGGGAAAAGAAATGTTCAGAGAAAACAAACGACAACTACTTCTATGACAACAGCCATACATGAGAGCCGTGTATTAATTGCATACCTGAGCGCCACTCTAAATACATTGCATGCATTTTTGGTGGTTATGTGTCGCTTGACTGATGGGGGGATTGACAGGAGTGTCGGAGTCAGCGATTAAAAGACAAGAACGGGTTTTCCGACCAACCGGTGAATTGACGACAGGAGAGAGAGAGAGAGAGAGAGAGAGAGAGAGAGAGAGAGAGAGAGAGAGANGAGAGAGAGAGAGAGAGAGAGAGAGAGAGAGAGAGACTGAAAGACAATGACATTGACAGGCCTACTGACACACTTTTATGGCAAAATAGTAGTTCCAATGCCTACCTGTGCTCTTCTCGAAACCCTTTATTACACACAAAAGACTAATCATTGCTTTTAAAGGAGAAGATTCTCTCTTTTGCCCGAATTATTCATTCGATCGGAACTATAGTTATAATGTATTGAGAAGTAAAAGAGTTTTTGTTTTGTATTGTACTGTATTTGATGTCAAAATTACAGTTATATTGTAATCTTTTTCTCAAAAACTCTTTTTTTCATTTGTGTCTCATTTTTCACACAAAAGGCATATCTTTTATATTCTTCTCATCAAAACTCATAACACATGCAGTGATTGTTTTTCTCTTCGTTTTTTAATCATATTTCATTACATAATCGTTTGTATGTATTAATTGGTTCGCGGATTGTCTGCAAAAATGAATGCTATTGTGAAAGGAATACCCCATAAGATAATGGGAGGTAAGGCATAGGCAATGAACTTAACGCTCATTTGGACACAAACCTCGAAAACACATTCAATACAAAACCCGGTCTCTCGAAGACTGTCGAGAGAAGCACTCATTTGACACTTTATGTCCGCTTTTTAGATCTGATAACAGTATTCTTCGTATTAATTCAAACAACTATTCACTTGTTATTGTGTAATACACTTCAATATCGGGGCCTTTCATACCTGTGCTCACAGGCATACCATACCTAACATACAAACCACTCCAACACTCAAATTAAGGCCAAAATCCTATTTACTGTTGAATTAGTTTTTTATGCAATTTAATTATTTCTCTCACAAATATTTCTCTGCAAATCTACACATCCCTCACATCCCTGTTGTCTCGCTGTGTCTTAAATGTCATCTCCTTTTCATATGATAGCCTCTCGTATAATAATTATGTGAATAGTTTTTGTGAGCATTAATTGTGCCAATCGTTGCGACAAATCAAAGGCACTGACATATCAAACATATCCTCAAACATAATACTATCCATCAATTCATTTACTTTTATATACAAATAATGCGATCAAATGTAACGGAAATTTGAAATTAAATACTCGCCATAAATATCAGAATATTTAAAACTAATGCTGTATTTATTATCGTGTATTAGTTTTGCCGGATTTTTCAACATTTTCGGCATTACTTTAAACTTAAGATTGATATATTTGTAACTAAACTATACTACAGTCAAACGCGTATACAAATCGGTAAACAAACATTGCTTTGACTTTTATTACCATCAATAATGTCGTTTAATTAGGAAAAGAAAAAGTTTTAAAAATATAATAATGATTATCGCAACTATTTTATAGATGTATAACATTAACTGAATAGAAAACTTTTTATAATTCTTTTACTCAATAATTTTAATCAATTAAACCTTTATACATATAACCCTTATGATATAACCCATCATTAATTATAAAATGAGATTCAATTTTAACCAAATGTGAAATATATTTTTATATTTTGTATCAATTGCTCTCAAATATATTAAACGCCAGAATATAAACATTGATAATAAATGAGAGGATTTTGTATGTCTATAATGTATAATGAGTGCCAATTTCTTAAAAAACAAAGTATAAGAGTTTGGCTAATAGAGTGGGACTATAATTACAAACGTTTAACATTATAAAAGGGAAGACATAATTCATTACCACCGAAGACTTTCCCGTCCGACAGAGCACTGCATTTTCACTTCAAACTCAACGCCAGAATATGCATAAGAAAATGAATTGAGAGAAAGAAAAACCAGTGAAGAAAAATAGTGGTACACAAGCAATGGACCGACAATTGTGAGCAATTGTTGCTTCAAAATAGTTATACGAGTTAGTAGTGAGTAGTAGTGAACGATCAAATGTAACGGAAATTTGAAATTAAATACTCGCCATAAATATCAGAATATTTAAAACTAATGCTGTATTTATTATCGTGTATTAGTTTTGCCGGATTTTTCAACATTTTCGGCATTACTTTAGACTTAAGATTGATATATTTGTAACGAAACTATACTATCAATTGCTCTCAAATATATTAAACGCCAGAATATAAACATTGATAATAAATGAGAGGATTTTGTATGTCTATAGTGTATAATGAGTGCCAATTTCTTAAAAAACAAAGTATAAGAGAGTAGGACTAATAGAGTGGGACTATAATTACAAACGTTTAACATTATAAAAGGGAAGACATAATTCATTACCACCGAAGACTTTCCCGTCCGACAGAGCACTGCATTTTCAATTCAAACTCAACGGCAGAATATGTATAAGAAAATGAATTGAGAGAAAGAAAAACCAGTGAAGAAAAATAGTGGTACACAAGCAATGGACCGACAATTGTGAGCAATTGTTGCTTCAAAATAGTTATACGAGTTAGTAGTGAGTAGTAGTGAAACGGAAGCAGTCATTAAAAGTGATCATTTTCTCTGTCTCTTTCACTCATCTCACGGCTCACTCATGGGTCCCAAACCGACCGACCGGTGCTCTCACTGTATAAACCAAGTGGTTGTCCTATTGTTGAGTGAATGGTTAATACAAACCACAGGATATATGCATTAATGAACACCACTTATAGCCCTCTAAAAAAACGAGAATACAATTTAAGCCAACAGTATATTTAACAACAAAATAATCACAATAACAATACGATGGCTCTCTATCTGCTAATTCTCTTGTCTATTCCTGTCATCTCTCTCTCTCTCTCTCTCTCTCTCTCTCTCTCTCACTCACTCACTCACTCCTCACTCACTCTCCTCTCCCTAACCATCAATGCATTTGATTTTTAAATTTCAAATTTCCTGTCTATTTGTTTGACTGTAAATAAATTGTATGAGCCAAAGATTGTAATTGCGAACAAAACATACGACACCATGAGTTGGATGTGTCGGCTCTTTAAATAGGGTAACGTTTTGTGTAAAATGCAAACAAATGCACACTTTATTATAGAAAAGTTTACATAGATTTTTTTGTTGGTAATTAATTTGCATTTAATGTGTGTATAAAAGTCTAAAAACGGTATATTTCATAGACATATCACAGACTGAATAAGAATCTAATAATTTGCTCATAAAATATACGAATTATATAAACAAACAATTTTTATAATTATTTTTGCAGTCATTCACCAAAATTCAGAAATGGTTTGCAATAATAATATTTTTGTTGTTTGTATGTTATAAAGCTCTCACCCCTTCAACACTACATAATACAAGTCCTCATTTAATGGCCACAGGAATACAAATAATAAAAACCTCTGTTTTTCCCTAATATCAGGAAGAATTTGGTGTTTAAAAAATGGTATTTTAATTAATCTGTTTTCATCTAACATATGGAGACATAGAATGGCAACCAATGACTGAATAATATTTTTGCTGAATATTTAGGTAGAAATACAATACACACACTCTTTGCACAAGTTTTTTGGTTCCCTTTAATGATAATAAAAGAGCAGAATTTTCCTCAAACTTTATGCCATTCATTGGATGGCAATCAATGCCAACCATTACTTACGAGAGATGTATACAAAAATCAAGTAAATTAAGGATTATATCATAAATTTTGTGCCACTATTTGAATGTAACTTATAATTCATGAATAGTAGTTCACACCATAAATATATGTATACCAGTGTTCAGTGTTTCGCCCAATTATTGCACAAATTATTTATTTATTTATTTATTCTCTCTCTCTCTCTCTCTCTCTCTCTCTCTCTCTCTCTCTTACATAAGATTAAGGACAAGTACTGTAAGTGACTCTCAAAGGTTAACATCAAAAATCACGATTCAATGAATACAATTATAAAGACACGAAACTCGCAGTCAATTTGAAAGCCGAGAGAAAAAACTAAATTATATTAAAAGGATGAGAAGAAATGTCACCCAATTCTTGCAGTTTATACATAAGAAACATATGCAACACATTATACAGTAAGAAAAAAAATAAAAGTAATAAACTCTTGGCTTAAAACTTATGGTTTGCTTTGAGAATAAAAGATTTTTGTGATTAACATTCAAAACCAATTCATATGAATATTCACTGCATTTATTAGGAATTTAGTACAACATATGCAGGCGTTTTGTATGGTATATATTGTTTGCGTACAAAAGTTATCATAAAATACCTGTACTTCAGGTGTAAAAGATATTATTGATGTCATCAAAAAATATTACTGTTTTTTAATTAATTTTTTAAATCCTGGAATTTTAGAGATAATAATTCGCTTTCTGTTTATTGATTTGCAGTCAAATATATTATTAATACAGTATTAGAATATATTCCCAAAAATATATTCACATATTCTTCACTCCCAAACCCTAATAACACTAATTAATGATAATTACCTCTAGAAGTGAATGAATGGTCCATATCTTAACGATCGGCAGAGAAACGGTTTTTATTGTATTGTTTTTTCTTTTCTCTCTTTTATTTTGTTGTGTAAATTGTGTTATAATTATGAATAAATCAAAAGAGATCGTTGAATGAATGCAAATACAGTTCACCCAATAATATGAATCTGCAATAAATGGAAATAAGAAATAAAATAATCATAACTAAAATGTTTACTTCAAAAAATAATTCATTACATGTTTTTCAAACAGTCATTGCATTGTATTGTATGCATAAATATTGAGAGTATGTATTATAGAGATATAGTCAGCATTTAATTTATTAAAACCAGCGATACATTTGAGTTTTGCAACAGTTTTTTATTTCTTTTATACGGTGTATATAATGAAGAATAAAAATTATATTAAATATCTAATCATTGCATCAAATCTTAGTTCAAATCTTAATATTAGTTGAATTGAGAAAAGGACAGGAATTTAAGACTTTTCTATCTCTTGTATAACTGATGCAAACATTGGTTTGCAATGCATTGCCATTCGTTCAGTGACTGAAAAATACCAATAAAAACAATTTATGCCTCAATTATGTCGAAAAGAAAACTTATTCTCAAATTATGTTTAGGTTTTGCAGAAATACCTTTCCTTATAATACACTGCAAGTGGTTATGCAGTTATAAAGAGACAAACCATTGTATCGGCTCTTGTCTCACATTTTTGCATATTATTCTCTGCCATCAATTACTGCTCAAAGGAATTTCGAGAGAGAGAGAGAGAGAGAGAGAGAAGTAAATTAATTACGAATGTCCGGATCGTATTATTATTATTATCTATATTTTATTTCTTATTTCCATTTATTGCAGATTCATATTATTGGGTGAACTGTATTTGCATTCATTCAACGATCTCTTTTGATTTATTCATAATTATAACACAATTTACACAACAAAATAAAAGAGAGAGAGAGAGAGAGAGAGAGAAGTAAATTAATTACGAATGTCCGGATCGTATTATTATTATTATCTATTGAAGAGATAATATGGTGGAAAGGCTCCCAAACCCTAACCCCTATGCAATGGTGCAAACTATAGTCACCGATATGGCCGCTGGCAATGATCATCAATGCACTGGCGCTTCAGGACAAGTGAGTGGTGTTTGAGTGGTTTGTATGGCTGGAGAGCCCGGGAATGTGAGGTGAAGGACAGGCCCTTTACCACCAAATGGCAGAAAGAGTACAACAAGAATGTGTGCTCACTCTTCAAATGCAATCAATGGTGACTCCAATGCTATTAATATAATACACGTCTTAAGACAGTGAGAAAGAGATGTCTACAAAATGCCATTTGCATTACACATGCAATTAATATATACATCGATATAAACAGAAACACAACTCTAAGGATTCCGTAGCAAAAGGAAAGGCAGTCTCTCTCTCTCAGTCCCCATCATTTGATTTAATAGTGTTTAACATAAAAAATAAAATTTTCTGTTTATTTATACGATATATAAGACAAGTGAAAAAAAACTCCAAATTCAGTGTTTTATTCAGTTGTATATAAATATGTTGGAGAGTTGTTTGAGAGGACTGGAAGTCCCGGCGACCGGTTCTACCAGAAACTGGTGAACACATTTCAAATAGTGGCTAAAAAAAGTGCTTTTAAAACACATCTAATTGTAATGGTTTTGGTTTTGCGAGGAATTTGTTGCCATCAAACAAAATAAAGACTGACTGACGGCCTCGCCGTACGTCCTTCGGCTTCCGGATGCGATGCGATCCCGCATTTCTAGTCTCTCTCCCGACCCCCCTATACAACAGCCAGTCCTCTATCACTGCAACACAACTCCAACTATAAAACCACTAAATATATTGTACTTATCATTAAATGAGCAAAAAGTACACAAAAATAAGATATACGTTATGAAAGAAACTCATCTGAAATTTATACAGATATTTATTATTTAGTAATTCCCTTAATATTTAACACCAAAATTTGAAAGAGATTTTAATTACAACATTAAATGCATTTCCATTTGGTCTTTACCTTAAATTTGTGTTTCGTCGCAAATATTCCTTTAAAATATAATTATTAAACAATAATTTCCCGTAAAATACACTGAAATGCATTACAAAGACTAAAAGGATTTCCAGAGGAATAAAAATAATAGTAATATAATGTGAACTAAAATCCGATTTTATAACAAATTTTCCTCTTTTCCAAGAGTTTATGCATTTTTTTATTTTCTTTCTTTTCAATCAAAAACTTCTATTCAATGCTAAAACACTTTGTTTTGTGCGTTTGTTGTATAACACAAATCTTGTGCTCATAATTATATATTTTATATAATATTATATCTTATAATATAAGCGAATAACTAGTTTTTTAATGCATTGTTTAAATCCCAGAAATTATGCCAAAAATGAAATGACAAAAAATAATGATAATAAATGTATATATTCTTGAAATGTATGTATATTATAATAGAGAATATTTATATCGATTCTGTTAACAAACCAATGATTTAGCTCTTATTTAATGCAAAATATTTTGTAAAGTTATGCCTAAACTATGTATTCATTAATTTAAGGAAATAATAGACAAACACATAAGGAATGTATTTCGTGTCAAATGTGTGTGTGTTTGAGGGGAGAGAGAGAGAGAGAGAGAGAGAGAGAAGTAAATTAATTACGAATGTCCGGATCGTATTATTATT